GTTTGACTACTGAATTAGTATTTATTCGGCATGTTATTGTGTCTTAACCATGTTCATATAGGCCAATCTGCCTCTTCTCAGCAAGAAACAAGGTCTTAGACAGCCATAACCCAGAGATTCACACACCTCCTAGAAGGTAAACAACTTCTCAGCATGGCCCAATATGGGTTTACTAGAGGAAAGAGTAGATGCATTACACAATGTTCTGAAGATCATACTTCATAACAGAAACAAAGGATTACATTGTGGACATAATATCTCTTAATGTAACGTCGGTCTTTACCCAACTATGGTGATTTGCTCTCAAAGCCAGATTAAAGGACTTGAAATGTTGAAGGAATCTTTTAAACATCATAAACAGCTACCTGGAGAAAAGGAAAATAACTTACAAAAGAGATGCACTCCACATAACAAAAGATCACAGTAAACATGCCCCACAAGGATCTAATATAGGGCCAATACTGGTAAATGTCAAAGCTGACACGGCCCCATATGATTTTATATTAATAATACATGGTTGTAACTGCACTATTACAGAACGAATGGCAGCCAAAGCACTAAAAAATTTAGCAACATGGAGTAAAAAATACAAATTAAAGTTCAGTGTATAAAAGAGGCACAAGATCGAAGTGCACCCTCCCTGCATCAAATGGCAAGGAGTCCCCTTCAAAAGACAGGATATTGTGAAACACCTAGACTTCAACTCTGACAAAAAGCTAACATGGGTCCCTACTTAGCTAGCATTCAGGAAAACAGAATAGCTAATAAATACTTAGCTTATTATATTTAGCTTATTAGCTATTCTGCTTACTTATTATTAGTTATTCTGTATTCTGTTTACTACTTAGCAACTAGTATACTTAGCTCAATAAGCTTATTGAGCTAAGTATAATAGTTGACAGCAAATGAGGCCTGAAAGGTAAACTGTTAAAAGAGCTTTACCTGTGAGCTATTGAGTGCATGATACTTCATGGTTGTCCAGTTTGGACAGCTAACACCATCACAGTTTGCCAGAAATTACAATAAATCCAACACATTGCTCCACTCAAAATAATCACGGCCTACTCAACAATCTCTACAGCCACATTGAAAGAACTTGCAGGTATTTTCCCCCAGAAAGCAAAGCTCAAATAAAGAAAACACAATATTGTCTCTTCCATTAAGTGGAAGATGGCATGTACAATGGTCACATTTTGATTAGGCACCAAAGTATCGAATACAGAAGTCATGAAAATCTACATCTAGTGCACTCAACGGGCACACTGTAAGGATCTTAAGTTTTACTAACGTTTATTTTATTTTAAATCTTTACTATCACTTCTTATTTTCTACTTCCGGCCAGAATTATAAGCGTTAAGGTTTTTATGCAAAGTTTGTCTGGCGAACGCCAAGTATTTAAGTTGTGGCTTTTTGCCAAGCGAGAGAGAGGAAGCAGTGAGTCGAAGAAGCCGCTTACCTTAGAAGTTACGCAGTTGCTTGTTTGCCTTCCAGGCCAGAGGTTTTAATTAATCCTCTTGATAATTTTAAACGTATTGTAGTGTTCACAGTTCTCTGTACTACATACGCTTCCTGTTATTATAAGGCCAATCTTCCACGTTTATTATTCTAAAGTTAAATTAGAGTTTAGTTTTATTTTTATACTTTTACGTTTTGACCCCAAGTAGCGGGTCAGTGTATTCCGAAGTACGGAAGTCATTGTAAATAGAGAAAAATAAAGGGTTTTGTATACCCTTCTTGTGTATCCTGTTTACTTCCCACAATTAGTGAACATAGCTTTAGTAAGCTCTCTGTTCCTAGTCAGGTCTTTGCATGTTCCCGAAGAAGGTAAGAAGGAACATTGAACCTGATAACACCATGCACTAAAATAACACCATAAGGTACTCAAACAGAAATCTACTCAAATGGTTTCAAAGCAGACAACAGAGTAGGAACAGCTTTTGTGGCTTATGAAGACAAGAAGGAAATCCATTACAAAATTAAATGTTTCAGCGATCATGCTACAGTATTTTAGGCTGAGTTGTTCACTCTCAAAAAGGCTGTCCTATGGGCAGGCACTCACAATAGAAATTATATAATATTTCATTAGCGACAGTATTACTTATCATTTCTAAAAGATCAAATAACTACATTTCAAACAAGCATGCCCTTAATTAACAAAGGCAATATTTTAGATAAAAATAAACCCTGCAAATAATTTAGAATCCAAAAAAAAGTTAAACGTTTATTCATACAAATATCAGACTGCAGTTCAAATTCAGAAGAAATAAATGAGACACCAGTTTTTGAGATAGTTGAGAATTTCAATGAAAGTAACTTATACTACATAATAAATGAAAGAACAGATCATTGAAAATTTGAAGTAAATTCAAGTTATTCTTTTTCTTTAACTCCAATAACCAGATATTTTCTCATCATCAGAAATGGCAGAAGCCACTGGTCATTTAGCCATCTATCTCATCCCCAAGAACATTAAGAGTGCACAGCAACCAATATGAAAATCACAGAGAAAGGAAGACATCAAAATCTACAGAAGGGGGAAGACACATAGACAAGAAAAAGATGATCACACATCTACCAAGTTTCATGTAGGAGTCAGCTTCTGCTAATAGCTATTCATAAAAGGGAGCAAAGAAACACACTTAAAATGAAAGAAAGAGCAGCCAGACTGAATTAGTGATCATTGAAACAGAAATAAAGTCACATTTTTCTATTAGTAAAGATATAATCTTGCATCAGTTGACATTATTATACATCATTAAGAGGTGTTTTCTCCATTAAGTGCAAGATAACTAAACTTCAAAAACTATTGTAAATATGCATTTACTGATAGATTACTTTCTGCTATTAACAATATATGATCAGGAGAGAAAAGTACATTAAGTTTTAAGACAAAAGCTATGGTAGTTGTGAGGTAGATACATACCATGGAATGTGACAAGTTTTATGATAAAATATTGAGAGATATTCATTATATCATGCTTTACGTGAGCATAATCCTTGAATCGGGGTTTGCTTATTATCAGAATTCCACTGCATATGTATGTAAAATATAAAAAATATGATGACTTTGCTCTATGTAAACAGGCAACCTCTAATTAACTTTCCACAATTTCAGGATCTTCTCCCTAGACTAGTACTTTCAAGAAAATTCTGGTATGTTATATAATCGCTGGTATAAATGTAGAATTCGCACCGTTTTATATCAGATTGCTTTTCTCCACCTGCCGCTGTAAGACCCTTTGCTGCCGCCCTTCCCGTCTTTCTTTCTTTGAATAGTATGATGCAGTAAATTTAAAGTTAATCGTATTTAGTCTATATTACTAGCGCATATGTAATCTTAATGAATCTAAAAGAATAATGATTTACCATTTGAATTGAATAAAGATGTGGAACCAAAACAGTTAACCTATTCTGTGCCATCATTTCATGCCAAGTTTTATGTGTGTGTCCGACTGTCAAAATATGACATATGTCATGTACAGATGTACATGTACAGATTGTCTTGAAAAATGTATACATTTCTCATAAGTACCATATTTTTGTTCTTTTTTCAAGTTTTTTTTTCCAGTGATTTAAGGCTTAAAATGTGCCTGGAATCAGGTTGATCTTTGAGCAAAGAAAATTAATTCTGAAATGCTGACAAAGAACATAAGTGAAATGCAAAGAAAGTTAAGAATGAAGTTTTAATGATATGTACCAATGCGACTCACGATTGCTCATTTGCGAGATAAGTTTGAGGAAAAAGAAACTGTCCAGAATATCCAGAAGAACTATTCCGGAAGACCACAATCATCCATCGGCCCCACAACAGAAAGGGAAGTCATTAAAAAGTTTCAGCAATCTCCTAGGAAATCTGTTCGGCAAGCAGCTCCTGAGATAGAAGTTCCAAAAATGAGCATTCATCCCATTCTGAAGCATGCCCAATGGAAAAATTTTATTCCTAGATTACTCTCCCTGCTGTGAATGATGATCATGACTGGATATTTGAATTTTGTGAGCAGTTTCAAGCAAGATGTGCACAGGAGAATGAATGCCAAACAAGATTGTTTGGAGTGATGGCCTCTTTTAAGTTACATGGTTCAAATAATCATCAGAAGTGTATTTACTGAGCTGCTGAGAATCCTCACACGACAGTGGAACACCATGTGATTCTACTACGAGTTACAGTGTAGTGTGGTTTATCAGCATTTGATTTGAAATTGAATCCTTATTTTTTTACCATATAGTGACTGGCAAAAATTACTTAAACCTACTACAGGAATATGGTATGCCACGTGTCATTTTGGGATGAAGAATGATATTTCTAGCAGGATAAAATACTTCTCCACTATCATTACATGTAAGGGCCTATCTTGGCAAACACCTACCAAACAGTTATGGATAGGATGAAGATGCAGTACTGAGCATCCTCTATGCTCACTGGATATGAACCTAATGGACTTTTTTTTAAATGCAAACATGTTAAGCACAAGACCAGCTACAATTAATGAGTTGAAAGCAGCCATTGAAGAAAAAGAATATGTCCAAATACCAATTGCAAAGATTAGGGACATTTTAGATTCCATCAGTTAGTGCTATCAGCTGCATCTGGACCACAATGGACGACAATTTGAATATTTTCAAAAAATGGCTGGTTTCAATATCTGTTTCCATTATTGTGAATTTTAAAATTTTTCTATATTACAATACTTATTAGAGTGTTAAAGAGTGTACAGTCATAAAAAGTGTATACATTTCATCGAGACACCCTGATACATATACATACAAACATACAGATATTCGGTGAAGGCATTCAATGATAGGCAAACAATATAGTTTCAGTAATCATCAATTTACATTCAATGCTTCAAAACTTCAAAGCAACATATCCACACTATTAAAGTTCATTTTTAGAAAAACAATATATAAATATTTTTGTATCTGTACTTAATAGAGCAAAGTGCAACTTAACACAAAACATGAAAATTAACTACAGAAACTAAATACATCAGTATACTCACTTCTTCTACAAGCTGCTTTACTTTAGGGGAAAGAGGCTTTGGTTCACCCTTTCTAAAGAGGAAAATATTTATATGAAAAAAATTATGAATTAACATAAAAATATATCAAGAAATAAATTTATTCACTTATAAAGAATTCCAAAAATATCTAGCTTAATCCTAACACAGTTTAAAATAAAACTAGGCAATTTTTAATAATGTAACAAATGGCTACCGTCGCATATTTAAATTGATAAAAAATGAAACCAGGACTTCAGAAATCATTTTTAAAAAATATCTGACAGTACTTAATTATACATATATTGTAGAACTCCTAAGGTTAAGAAGTAGACGAACCAGACATTGTGCCCCAAATCTGAAGCTGGAAACAACTGTTTTCACCCGCCACAGTTCCTTTCCTTTATCAACCCTCATCTATTTCACTAAATTGGGATGCTAAGGACATCTATGATACTAATTCAGAAGTCAAACAACAAAAATCAGCGTTATATTTTCAAAATTTTCACAGGACTAGTTTCGATGGTTTTACCGAACCACCATCCTCGTTGCAAAACACTTTTTGCAGTTTTGCAGTTTGCAGCTGAGGATGGTGGTTTGGTAAAACCATCGAAACTAGTCCTGTGAAAATTTTGAAAATATAACGCTGATTTTTGTTGTTTGACTTCTGAATTAGTATTTGTTCGCCATGTTATTGTGTCTTAATCTATGATACTCTCAACAATTTTCCCGATATTTTTTTTGCTTAAAATGATACAATGGTTTGCTGTTGAATGTTCACAAAAAACTGATTAATCAAAAATGAAAATTAATGCTTCCATGGGTACATCATTTTTGTATATAAAATAATTTATATTTTCTTTTCCATTCATATCATTGTTTTTTCCTTTCTTATGTGTTAAAATTCCCTACACGTGGTCATTAAAAATATCTGTCTATAGTTTAGACTGGAAATGAGAAAATGCTGGATATGATGAATGTGATTTATTTAAATATTATTTCTTAATATTTTAATAGATAAGTAAAATATCTTGTAAGCAGGATGGAATTACGATTACTTAATATGATTGTTTGAAAATGAAAATCTGAATGGTTTTATTTATGTAATTTTAAATTACTTACTTAAAATTAGTTTGGCATTACGTTAATTAACATTTTATAGATAAGTAAAATCATAATTTTTATGCTACATCTTAATTCCTAATTGATGATTATCATAAAATATTAAATATCATAAAAAATGTTTTGAGGCTCAAAAATTAGTATCGTTTAATTCTTTTATTTTTTCTTAAGCTAGGATGAATTCTGAAAATTTTTTAATCATTTATTTAAATAATTTTAAGAAACTACTAAATTGCATGTAAAAAATAATGTTTCTCTAAGAGAGTCACCATCTTATTTAATTAATTTGGTTTGCTTAGTTTGTATTTAATTAATGTGAATTTGAAAAGATCTCAGTTAACATTGCTTTAGAATAGTGTGCATATATATTGAAAGTAATACAAACAAAATCCATGAAACTGTAACAAGTTTCTTAAACTGTAACAAGAGATGTGTTTCCTGATTCATATTTCATCATAATGAAAATATGTATTTCTATAGATATCAAAAAGAAGATAACAAAAGAAGCTATTTTCATTATATGACCTACACAGTGATCTACATCCTTCAAAATTCTAGGATGTGACTTAAAAAAGTTTTGCTGATTGACATAAAATTCAGTTTTGTATTGTTGCGTGCATACAGGTTCGTTACGAAATGAATACACAAGTCCGATGAAAAAATGAACAAAATTTATTAATATCACAACAAAAATGCTTAAATCTACTCAGATATTCATGCAGTATTACAATATCTCACAGTAGTTATCTTTTAACTACTCAAATGTTCAAGAGAACTTAATTCAAAATAGCTAAAGAAAGCTAATCCACGAATTCGCAACAATCAGCAAGAGCAGTTTTCTAAATAAACTCTTAAAACAACAACAAACTATCTAACATAACAATGAACTGAGAGGTTTTTCTCCTTTTTATATGATTTTAAATCGCGCGCGAGAATTTCTGGAACTTTCTCGAAATTAAAAAGAGATATTTATTTATTAAATGTTAACTGCATGTGCTCTTGTATTTTAAACTTTCCGGCTTAGCTTTCTTTTATATTTGTCACGCGCTGCACTGCACGAGGAATAAAACAATTTAATTTATAATTCAACTAACATTAGCTATTTAAATACAAAATCCAAAACACTGCCCCCTTCCCAAGGACTGCATGTCTCGGGCAGTACAATCCCTGGACAGGAAGCCCAACTTACAACTAAAGGCATAAATGCAATAATAAGCATTACATTACAATAACAAAACAAAACAAACAAACAAAAAAAAAAAAAAAACATGAACAATAAATGCAATGAAATACTAAATACAAATCAAATGCTATCAAATACGAAATACAAATCAAATGCTATCAAATACGAAATACAAATCAAATACACATTTAGAAACAAAAAGGACCATGGTCTTGCACTAATTACAATTATTTACATTACATACTATGGCCACAATAATGGGCTAACCAGTAATAATGAACGACTTTAGGTTTAGAGTTTGAAGGCTTATGGATAAGAACCACGATGTAATTCAGCCTGTTTAGGACTGTGTACGGACCATCCCAAGGTGACTGTAATTTAGGCCTGAGTCTTTTTCATCGAAACGGGTTTCACAACCACACCTTGTCTCCTTCCTGGAATTGATGTCCAACAGCTCTTGTGTCGTTATCTGGTCTTCACCTTCTCCGTCGGCAAGTTGACTCGCTCTCGTGCGGAACGGTGCATCACTTCAAACCGAGCCTGAACATCTTGGATGTATTCCTCAGGCGATGAAGGCGCATCCGTAGGGCGACCAAACAGACGGTCACAAGGTCTAGACTGAAGAGCATCTGGGATGGAGAATAACCAGTAGTCTGGTGTTTCTTTTCAACCCTAATATGATTTCGGCAGCTTTCTGAGCTGGGTCTTTCAGACAAGGCTTCGGCATTTCCAGGTGAGGATTCCTTCTGAGGATGGATAGTCATGTCATCAGATGCTGAAAGCAGTTTGTTGTTGTTGAAGTCTAAGGAAAAATTGCATTACCTTAAAAAGTTCAATCCGAGTATGCATGGATCTGTAATGTCCGCCACATAAGCCGTGTAATGGTAGGCGGCACTTCCAAACGTGATGCTCACATTTAACTTCTCAGCTATGTCGATCTTATCACCAGACGCAGTCTGAAGGGTAACACAGGATGGCGTCCAAATAAGTTTATCTTTAAACTGTTGAGCTATCCTTCCGAATGATGGTAACATTAGCTCCTGTGTCAATGATCATATTGCAAGGAACTCCATCGATATTCCCATTGATGGACAGTCTGTTACTCTTGCCACTCATTGTAGAAATCTTGAGTGCTTTAAAACAAGGTTTTTCATTATCTGGCAACCTCCATTCCTCGATATGGTCATTATTTTGTTTCCTGCGTCGTTGCTGGGAAATGATCTTAATTTTTGTGCTCAGAGATGTTCTGCAGTTCCTTCGCACATGGCCTTCGACATCGCAGTTCCAGCACTTTTAGGGTTAGTTTCTTCTCACCAATATTCCTTCTCAAGGCATTCACTGGTCTTATCAAATCATTCGCTTTATTATCCGTGCCCTGGGATGTTCTGCAATGCCGTCGTATGCCCTTCAATACCACATTTCCAACACCTTATGGTCGGCTTTTTGTCACCAATATTCCATCTCAAGGCATTCAGTTGTCTAGTTAAATCGTCTAGTGACTTGATCCCCTGGCTCCTGGACTTGAGCAGTTCTGATTGGGTGGCGGTCTCTACGAGTTGCTTGTTGAGCTGCCTTAAATTTCATGACATGCACTAGAACATTTTTTAAATCTTTAATATCTGCCATTCGTAGAGCCTTCTGTATTTCGGGATCCCGGATGCCATCGATAAAGTACTGCAGGGACAGAATTTCTGTCCCTGCAGTACTTTATAGTTTCTCTCGGGCACTCCGTAAAGGCGAGGTGGGACAGCCTTTCAACATCTGTGGCGAGTTCCTGGAGTGATTCGGCAGGCTTCTGATAACAGGATTTTAATTGAAGCCTGCCATAGTCTTTTAAACATTTCTCACCAAAGTGCAGCTCCAATGCGCCAGATAGAGCTTCGAAGTCAAGTCTTTGGTTTTCTGGAAGTGTCTGCAGGATATCCACTGGGTCTGCTCTCAGAAAAGCGGCAAGATGACAGGCCTTAGTTTGGGAATCCCATCCATTCGCATCCGCAATGATAAAAAATTGTGTCTTATACACTTCCCAGGAGGTCTTCCCATCATATGTAAATAGTTTCAGAGAGGGATCAGCAGGCATTGGTAAAAATTTAAAACTATCAGAATTGCTCCCTGCTGTCGCTACGATCTTCTTTAAAGTATCAACCTCTTTTGCAATGGCTGAAACCCTCTCCTCAATTTGTTGTTTGACAGCAGAAACTATCTCCTCTATATGTTCTTTTACAGAAGAAACTCTTTCGTCTATTTCTCCTTTCATCGAAGAAACTCTTTCTTCAATTTGATCTTTTACGGAAGAAACGTTTTCTTCAATTTGTCCAACTTTATTTTCAACCATGTCCATTCTGTTTTCCATAGCCTCAATTTGTTTTCTATTATGCAGATAATTTCTCTTTTCATTTCTTCTTGACCTGCTTCAATCTTTTTTTGACCGGCTTGAATAGCTTTCATTTCTTCTGATTCCTTAACAACTTTTATTTGGTCTTTAAAAGTTAATTGACCAGCTTGACTGGCCTTCATCTCTTCCTTAACGGATTTTTGACCAGCATCCATTTTCTCTCTAATTTCTTCTTTAAAAGATGTTTGGCCAGCTTCCATCTTTTCTTGGAATGCAGCAAAAGCACTGATGAGCTGCCTCAATTGTTCTTCCATCGCTCTTGTTATTGGCATTCAAATCCCACTGCTGACACCAAAAATTGTTGAGTGCATATGGGTTCGGTACGAAATGAATGCACAAGTCCGATGAAAAAATG